TGTAGCCCTGCAGTCACCCAGAGAAGGAGCATCACCCCAGGAATAACCCGGCTATAAGGACGCAGAGTCTTCTGCATAAGTGTCCATGAAAGTGAGTCTGCTCTGCAACCAGGAATGCAAGAACCATGAGGCTAAAAGTTTGGGCAGAAAAGGGGGATCCTGGCTCCATACTAGAAATCTGGACACAGCTCTCTGAGGGGAACATTGAAAGCTCTATATCAGTAGCCACAACTGTTTCTGGCCTGATGTTGCTCCAGTGAATGGAGCCTACAGTCCCAGTCCTGTCCACACCCAGGCAGGATACAGGTTCTTCTTATCCACTGTCCTTCCCACCCCATGACTTCTGTGCTCCTGTCTATACAACAGCCCATATTCAGCAAGAATGGAGATGAGATACTCCACTGCTCCCCAAGTATCTCGTCTGATTAGGCCTGCACCAAGGATTCCAATGACTAAAACAACCCTGCGATGCTTGTGCTGAGAACCCACATCTCAGGTCTCCCACTTTGTTGACAAGCTAGTTAATGAAGCCCATCTGCAGAGGCGGCAATATTGCTGTTGCTGCTGCCAGCTTGTTCGTCAAAAGAATCATCTCTGCTCCACGGTTATACAAAAAGGGCTATGCAGATTATCTCTGAGGGAAACTGACACTTTTATTTCCTACTGGTTCCTTCTGTAGTTCATAACAACATACCTAACCTATATGGGCTGTATTCCCACAAAAGCACTTATGATCCCTAGGCCATCAGCAAAGTATACACCTAAACTAGATGGGTAGGGGCTCCTTTTTGGTTGCTCTGGAGACATGCAATTCTCTCCAGTGACTATAATAAGGAATTCAAGTGCTTTTCCTCAGAGGTAGATCAACCTGCAAAGCTTAACTTTAACATACAGGTAGAAGTTTGTGTTCACAGTGAGGCACCAGTGCTACTTGCTCATGGATTAAAAAAGTTTTGTGAGCACGTAACAGAGATGCCAGTGCCTCCAAGTGTAGCACAACTTAGTCTCACTACAGCTGAGAGAGGGAATGAAAATTTCATAGCAGGTATGACTAATCTGCATTTTACTGTAAGTATCCAGAGTCTTAGTGACCTCCTGATTTTGCAGTTTTTTCCCATTGAAAGTAATGTTTATGCACTGAGCTGCATGAAGCAAAAGTTGTAGATTAGGGAATTACTTCAAATGCTTTGGCTATACTAGATGCATTAATTTTTCATTACCTCCTTCATGAAAAAAAAACACAACAAACCAACAAACAAACAAAAAACCCAATAAAAAACCTGAGGTAAAACAAAAATATCAAATGAGGACATTCCAAACCAGGCAAAGAGCAGATCATGCATATCCTTCTGGCAGTGCTCTTGTTACCAGTAACTTCCTATTTATTATCATCATCATGACTCTTTATCCTTTTCTTAAAAACTATCCAGATTATCTCTGCAAATGTGGGTTTTTTTCCTGTTTGACAGATGCTAGATTCACTTTCGGCTGAAAGCAATCAAATTTTAGGCATAAGGAATACATTTTTTAAAGCCTGTGCTCTGTAGTTAACAATTTTGTCCTGGAAATAAATTGCAAGCACAGACTTGGGCCTTAACATTCTTACTAACTTAATGGGAATCCTAACAAGTCAAACAGTGTACTCTGCACTGCAATGCTTATTTTCTTTTTGAACTGGTGACAAATGAGAATGACTGCTTCAAACTAGTCTTACAAATGACAGAAATAAAACAGAACACTACAAATGTTTCTCTTTGAATAGTGGAGAGTCAAAGCAATCTAAGGTGAAAATGGTGTCCGGCAGGGTAATTCAGATCAGGAAAGTCATCCAACTCCATAGCAGCTTGACCCAAACATAGCCCCAGAGGCAGTGCTACAGCTGCCAGAGAGACAACTAGCCAAGAAGCTAGCGGAGGTGCAAGCCAAGAAGCCAGCCATGAACCCACAGGCCAATGCAGGAAAGCTATATTCCAGAATTTGGCATCTGGGTCCTCCAGCTGCCAAACATCCCCATCTGGCTGGGCCTGTGGACAAGGTGTTAAAAATAACAGGGGTAAATTATACAAGAGCAAAAGAAGTACCATTTGCAAGACACCAAGGATGGAGAGGCATGTTGTGCCTGCCAACACATGAAACTCACACGTATTATCACTTTGTCCTGGTGGATCAAGGGAGGCAATATGGACAAAATGCTCAACATTTTATAGGAGATGAAGAGTTAGATGCGCATGAACCGAAGCAACAGTCCCAGCCTGTGGCCATCCACAGAGGTCAGCAGATGTAGAAGATTTGTGTGGAATTGCTTTTGAGTAAAACTTAACAGCTTTGAGTAGAACCCAATCAAAAAAAAAAAGGAAAAAAGCCTACAAATAATGTTTCTTCAAGACTTTGTGATGCATTCTGTTCCTCACAAAAGAAATCAAGAATCTAAGAATATTTCTGAACTTTCATAACTAGAATACCATAATTTTGAGTTTAATTTTATGGAAGGATAACTCTCTTCCAATTTAGTGGAAAAAGATAACTTTAGTAATACAAAAATTGAAAAAAAAACCAAATCCAGGTAGGCATAAAATTTAATTCAAATGAAATATATCCACTCATATAGCTGCATTTACTTGTAGCCGAATTCACTTCTGACAAGCAGTTACTGTTCCTAAACTGCTACAGTGCCGTATCCCAAGAAACGGGACCAGCTGTGAGGAATAAGGCCAGTGTCAGCAGTATTAAGTGCAGGGTAAGAATTCATACTTTCAAATAATACACTGATTTAAATATTAATCTCATTGATCTAATTTCCACCTTTCACTCTACAGACAGATTCATATGGTCTAGATAAGGTTTGACAGATGCAACTTTCTTGATCAATTTGGTCCTTTATTTTAAAAATACATAAAGCCCCTATAGTTCTCTTCCAAATTTCTGTTTTTATTAGAATCTATTTCCCTTGCCAAATATTACACTTCAGTCTCATCTCACTCCAGTCACAGTGCACTAACTTTCAGCAGTTTAAAACTGCTACTTGAGATTACAGAATTACAGAATCAACTGGGTTGGAAAAGACCTCTGAGATCACCAAACACCTCCTTGTCAACTAGATCATGACACTCAGGGCCACGTCCAGTCTCTTCCTAAACATCTCCAGAGACAGTGACTCCACAACCTCCCTGGACAGCCATTTCAATGCTCAACCACTCCTGTGTAGAACTTCTTCCTAACGTCTAACCTAAACTTCCCCGGCTCAACTTAAGATTGTGCCCTCTTGTCCTACTGCTGGTTGCCTGGGAGAAGAGACCGATCCCCACCTGGCTACAACTCCTTTCAGATAGTTGTAGAGAGCAATAAGGTCTCCCCAAGCTTCCTCTTCTCCAGGTGACTAATGCCATCTTCATACACATCTCACTATGCACGTTTTTCAGGGGGGGGGCTTCATTAGTAGGATCTCATATTCATTACTATGATTTGTGTACACTCTACATGTAAATCCATGAGTAATTTTTTAAGCAAAATATTGACAACATTAAAAAGGAATAAAAAATTAACAACATAAACTTCCTTCTTGAAAATGCTTTCTGTAGAATGGAAGCTAATAGAATCGGTGATCACACAAAATACTATAGTTCATTTCAGCTAAATAAGCCTGCATTAAAAATAGTATCTGAAATATACATATATTTTAGAAACACAACATTTTGGGAGACTACTTGGCTCTTCAGAATAATTTCTGAAGTTGCGCTGATAATTTCAATCAGATCAAAGAAAATTCTAGGAATTTTTAAAAAATAAATGTATCGTTTCAATTTCATAGCCAAGGAAACCTTAAAAGGTTTGTATTGGCTTTAAGAGAGAAATTGTTCCTGCTGCTTCTTTGAAAATGTTTGAGTAATAAGATCCTGCAAAATTTAATATAAATATACCAGTTGTAACGTAATTAACTGCAAATTGGAGATAGGAGTAGATTTAGGGAATGATTTCTGTATTTGACTACTCATTAGCAATTTGAAAGTGTAACTGCTCTTAAACATGACTTCTTCCTAATTTTATTATGAAGCTTAGCTCTACTTATAAATGTGAAGAATTTGATTTATTCTGCAACTTATTTGCTTGTATTGAATGTGCGAAGTTGTTTTTCCTTCTCTACTCCACAGGCACACAGATTACTAAGGATAAATAAAGCAGTGAGTTGATGGGTTTATACCTGTCACACAATGACTGTGACTCAAAAGGAATCTTCTGAGGGGCCCACAAAACAAATGAAAGGAGGAGGACAAACAAGCAGCAAGACTGAGAGTGGACATTTCATTGCACGCTATTTTAAAACCCAGTAAAACAACAGCAATTAATCCAACAAAAACAGAAACTTATCAGCTTTGGTATGTCCCTGCTGTCACACGACATCATTTCTACTTGGGCAAGCACGGTGAACCTGAAGGCCCTTATGGCATCACAACACTTGCTGAAACCTCCCAGTCACCCTCACATTGGACTGGCATATAAACTCTGCACCCTAAAGCAGGACATCTACTAGGCACATTACACAGTAAGGTTCTAAAATTCCGCCCTCCTTGAAATAAAAGCGAGGAGATGAGAGCACTTTCTTCACGTTACAGCTTTGCTTGCCAACTGTTTCGTGGTAACTGGCAATGGCCCATTATAACATGAGCTACACTGATTCACATTAACTTTGGTACTCAATTCCAGTAGACTATTATGAACCTTTTTAAACTATATTATTAAACATGAGATAAGACAGGGTTTTTTTTTCTATTCTTGTATTTCAGACATTTGGATTTGGAAGAAAAAATAAAAATGCAGCTTTCCCACCACCCTCCCAGCCCCAAAATATAAAACTCAATTGGAAAACTCAACTTTGGACCTTTTCTAGCCACAGATATTCCCCCAGTCATGACACAAAGAGGGAAAGAAACCTGAAAAGCACTGCTACTAGACTTTGTCAATAAAACAGAATATTATATAATACACAATAAAATGCTTCATACCTGGAGTTGAAAAAACGAAAAGGGTTAACAGCTGACCTGGCACAGCCCCACATGCTCTCTCTGGAAATTGAACACAGACAATAAGGAATTTTAAGTTACCCTAAACAATCGAAGGGGACTTAGACAAGCTTGAGCAACACTTACTGCAAAGTAAGTAAGGCACATAGCCTCAGTGTGGAAGGCATTTTAGGATTTTCTCATTCACTTAAAACTCTTCTTAAACTGAAACTGCTCTGTAGAGGTCCCAGCTAATGATAAGGAAGTCATTAGGAGCTCTGCGATTAATTTGCATGGGAGCAGAGTCAAAGCTTAAGGGTCCATGTGTCACTCAGTCGTAATTCTGGATCATGATGGATCATATTTTCTTATTAAAAAATAATCAGTGACCAAGAGGTAAACATTAACAAGAATCTACAGCAGACAGACATTGCACGAAGAGTAAATAGAGGCTGGACCGAATGTCTGCTCCCAGAATTCTGCTGCATAAGTAATATTATTCCCAACACATCACTGGAAAAACATAGGCTTTAATGCCTTTTACTTGAAACTGAGACTCCAGCGAAAATAGATAATCTTCTAGAATATTACACAAATATACAGTGTCATAGCTGTATAAACTCCTATGCTGGTTGAGATTTGGACTATGTGAAATGTTCCTTTTCACTGACAAATTCTGATCTACTGCATGTGCTCAAACAAGAAGCATCATACAGCTGGTTTTTGGTTCCACCAGGTTAGGGCAAAAAAAAAGAAAAACCTGTAGAAAGCCAAGAACAGGAATAATCCCTTTAGTCCTTTCTGTGGTTGAGACCTCAAATGTGCTATGAAATTAGTCTGAGGCCAACGCCCAAGAAACTAGCAAAAATATTACAGTAACAATACGAATCATAAAAAAAAGGTTTTGTACAGTAGCAGTTGAATGCATTTGCACTGAAAATGTTTTGGATCTTTCATCATCATGGCTAGGCTTCGCGAACGAAGATTTGGGAAGGGCACTACCCACGTTTCTTGCAAGCGCGTTGGTGGCTAAAAGGCCAATACGAGATAGACATGTCCAGTTGCAAAAGGCACAGCAGAAAGACTCCTTGGGTGGTATATTCTGCAAGGCACGATTCTTTCTGCGTTCTCTTTTCTCCTCAAGGGTGATCCTACATGCCTTCTCAAAAGCATCAGCAGCGTTAAAGACAGTGTGTCTCCAGACCTCCCAATTGGAGGCCAGAGTAGACCAGTTATGCTGATCTTTCATAATGCTCAAGTAAAATGGCCAGGTTGGCATAGTAATTGTTGAAAGTGAAAAAGAAATTTTCAGAGCAACTTCTCTTGATTTATATAATTGTACTTTCTACTGGATGTTGGAAACCTACAAATAATCTATTTTCTCTCTAGATTCTGCACTGCATATTTTGCACTGCTCAGACTGCCTTGTTTCAAGTGTAAATATTTGCTTTCTTTACTGTTTTTGCCAGTTGTTAGATACTAAATTTCTGATAATGACAAAAATATGCTATGTAGATGACAAAATGATGTAAAGAATTTTTGAAGTCTAAGTTATTAGCTCTACCGTTGCCTGATACAGGGTTTTTTTCCCAAATTCTTTTTCCACTCTTCATGTAGTCTCTTTCTTCTCAGAAACATATCTCAGGTACCTGTACCACAGTATTACAGAATCACAGAATATGCTGAGTTGGAAGGGACCCACAAGGATCATCGAGTCTAACTCTTAAACCCTGCACAGAAGGGTTAAACTCTGCCCAAGAGTCACACCACGTGCCTGAGAGCGTTGTCCAAATGTGTCTTGAACTCTGTCAGCCTTGGTGCTGTGACCACTTCCCTGGGGAGCCTGTTCCAGTGCCCAAACACCCTCTGAGTAAAGAACCTCTTTCTAATATCCAACCTAAACCTGCCCTGACACAACTTCAGGCTGTTCCCTCAGGTCTTGTCACTGGTCACCAGAAAGAAGAGATCAGTGTCTGCCTCTCCTCTTCCCCTCAAGAGGAAGTTGTAACTGCAATAAGGTCTGCCTTCAGTCTCCTCTTCTCCAGTCTGAACAGACCAAGTCATCTCAGGTACAGATTTTATTTCACAGTTGTGTCAGTACCTAATCAAAGGGTACTGGGACAAAATCTCCCCGCTCCATCAGCCCTCAACTGAAAGCAATATGCACTGGAAAAGTGGTAACTGAAAACCAAAACACTGACTGTTCTCTTCCATGTCAATTAATTTAGAATCACCACTGTGTCTTACTGGAAAATTATTTATTCCTACAGTTGATATAAACAATAGATTACTCAGAAGTCATACCTCTTAATTTTGTACACTTCTTTTCATAAAGGACCCTTTTAAACAACTAAGCAATAGAGCAGACAAAAATACACTTGTTGAGGTATTTTCATTCTGAATCTTTATCAGTGGAAAATTTAGCAGACAATTAAAACTCTGCTTAGAACTTATGGTATCCACACACTGAAGGAAAAGACACCCAGACATTATCCAATCAACCTCACAGACACCTAAAACTTATTATGTTCCTCTCTCTTTGGCATGAAAGCCAAAGGGCTGTGGCCTCCCACTCAGTTTCTGCTCCAATCGAGAAATCATGGGGAGAAATAGCCAACCCTTGTCTTTGGGGCTTGAAGCTTATCTGTGCTAAGAAAATGGCTAAAACACATCTAACAACAGGTAATCAGCACAAAAGGGATCTTCCCAATCCAAAATAAGTGTAAGAGAAAAAACAAGAGATAAAGGACCACTCCTGGATCTCTCTTGCATAGAAATGTAGGTATCTAGCTTCCTGAGTTACTGCTGCAATGACTACTTTTTTATGCCATAGGTAGGTGGCTGCACCACTGCTGCTGCTGGCTGTCGCATTTTGAAACAGTGATGGCTATCAGGAAGAGGAAGAGCATGATCTGGGTTTTACAATAGGTAGAAATAGGTAAGCTCAGAACAAAGTACTTGATATCTTAATTTTCACAGTGGGAAAATTGGGAACGTGAGCCATTCTTTTTTTTCCAAACTGTATTTTAATGAACAACTACAAGTTAGAAGCCCAAGCTCCAAAAAGAGCAGAGATGACTCAAAGCCAAGTACCTATCTAGGAGGTCAGTGGAAACAGCTCTAGGAAGCTGGCTGCTCTGCAGCTGAACTTCAAAGCCTTTAACTCTGTGTTGACTATGCTGTGGGAGTGTTGAATGCTTTGTGCAGGTGCTCTGAAACACTGCTGGAGCCGATCACGTATTTCATAACCTCACAACACCTCCACCAGACCTCCCCCAAAGCAGGCAATCTGGATCTTGTCTTAAGTGCCTGTGCTATTATGGCTCACCTTGGTCCTGGGTACCTGCAGTACTTCACACATGTTGCTAACATTTGGGGATAGTGGTACCTCTATGCCATGCAGTACATTGACAAGGATGTACCAGTTATAGAACTGTGCGTACTTCGTAGTTTCTTTCAAGCGAGAGGAAACTCACATTTCATTATTCTGACTATGCTTTAGTTGTGGCTAGGAATCTCAGAAATGATGTGGTGATACAGACAGCAAGCAGTTCCGAAGCGGAAATACTGAGTGCAAAGGGAATCAACCTGTTCAGTGGGATAAATAATTTTCAGCAAATAATTTATTATACAACATTACCCTGCTACTGTGCTTTTGAAACTTTTATGATTGAGATTTCAGTCATTATTCCAGTTCCTCCTATGAACTTATTTATAAATTGTTTGACTCTTTGGCCCTGACAAGCTACAGATTATAGAGACAGCAGTGGTCATCAGTTCTTAAGATAAACACCATGGTGTCTTCTATGTCTATCTGACAGCATTGTGTGTCCCTGATTTATCATGCACTATCCCAGTCCTGTGCTAAATATTGTATTTTTCATGCAAATAATTGAGAGAAGTATTTTGACAAGACTGAGACTGCTGACTTTTAACATGTAAATAAATCAAGTATTTTAGTGCCTGATGTCAGCTTCTGGTCATTCCCAGCTTAATTTATTTTTCAAGCTCTGTTTGCAATGCTGGGCTTTTCTGCCAGCGGCAGATACTCTATACAGGCCTTAGGATGAGCACTTTCTAGGGCAGTGTCTGACCTCAGTACCTGCAAGCCTGCCCCATGACACCTGAGTGAGCGACATGGGCTAGGCAAGAGAGGTTTGGCCTTTGCTGCCTCCTCTGATCCACCCTGGTCTCTTTCTTATTTTCGTCCTGCCTCAGCTTTCGTATTTTCTTGCACCACTGTATCCTGTGGCAACTCAGTATATCCCAGAAGGACAAATAAAGAAAAATATGACCCAAAACTTCATCCTTGATGCATCTTTTGTCACAGCTCTAATGATGGAGGTGTACAGTTTGACCCTGAAATCTGTGACCATCATTACTCAGGATTAGATGCTAAAATATCAGTCACTGTGCTGCTTTAGTCCTTGTTTCAGCCTTCACTTCCTTTCATTTTGGCTGGAGTAATTTCATGTGTGTGGTGACTTTATGCTGCAAGTATCCTTTCCATGATGTATTCAAAATAGTAACACTCATGTCCTAAGTCACAAACACATGGACAATGACACCTCCTTGGCACTCAGGCTCAACACAAAAAACTCTTCTTGTACTCATCATCCGGGAACTTCCTTTCATTTCTCTTTTATTTCCAGCCCAAAAAGAACTTGCTGTGAGAAATGAGGTTGAGGTGGAGTCACTTCTAGTCGCAGAGAATTCAACTAACAGACAGGAAAATCTAGCACAATCTTTTCCCATTATGCAGGAAAAAGGAAAACGGCAGAAAAAAAAGTAAGTTGGTGGCTTTTTTTTTTAATCCTTGTATTTACATGCTCATTCAATTTTGTCTTGCTGAACAGTGTTTGTCTCTTAATAATTCCCCTCCTTTGCATGCGTTTTACATATCCGTGACCTACACAACTTTTGTGGTTTGCGTGCATTGATCTAAATAGGACAATTTTTCCATAAATCAGTATAAGCACTGCTATTAAGATTTAATTGTGCTGCATATTTGTCTGTCACAAAATCACAGGAACTGCCTTATGCAAAAGGAAAGATAAAAACTT